TATACATACATACACACATACACACACACATACAGACATTTTGTAAAAATATATATTTTTTACGTTTTAAAACATTTTAAACATATTCCCAAAGAAAACTGGAAAAAAATTTTTTTCACGAAAACAAAGCTTCCTCTATGAGGAAGCAAAAATTAATGGAATTGTATTTAAAACTTCTATTTTATTTCGCGATCATTATACAAATAATTCATACATGCATAAATGCCTAGATGAATACAGGATATCACGAGACACGGTAGTGTCTCGCGCCAAGTGTAAGCGTACTACATTTACCTTATGCAGCTACTGAGTATTTTATTAATACTAATTTTATTGTGAATTTATTATTATTTATTTTATATCCTTTAGTATTTTAATCGCCTTTTTAATGTATACCTACATGTGCTTGGTTTCCAAATGATGCACCATGGTAGAAATTTTGTTTGCACCTACATATGACTGTTCACAGTCCCCGATCAGACATGTTCACATTAACGATTCTTTTTTGAAATATTCCCAATACCATTTGATGTCTGTTTCACACATTTCTTTTATTTCAGAATTCAATTTGTCGAAATGTTTAGATTTCAAGTGACGAAATATTGTACAAATTGTTCTCTATTTTTGATCTTATTGCATTCTTTTTTGAGCCATCTCCAGGAGTTCTTCGGCTTCGTTGTGAAGCACCTTTGTCTCGACAAGTTCCATACTATTCAGGAAGTTCTTCTCGTCGTTGGCGAGCAAATAGTACTTAAGATCGTGCACGTTTACCTCGCGATTTTCACATTTGGGTGGCAACGACACATCCGGCAGCATCTACTGAATCACCTCTCGCGTCGTCTGGTCGTTGTAATCTTTGTAGGTGTCGATGTCTGGACACTGTTGGCTGTTTCCTAGTATCAGTTTCACCATGTTGCACTGGCCCTTCATCGCCGCCAAGTGGAGGGCCGTCAGGCCCGTGTTATTCGGAATACTTGCGCTGGCACCTGCATTCAGCAGCCGATCGGCGCAGGTCAGGTCATTCTTTTTTACCGCGATGTGCAAGGCAGTTTGCCGTCCCGCTTCGAGATTTGGATTTATCGTTGGTTCCGCTAGCAAAACTTCCAATGTGGCCACGTGTCCGCCTTCGGTAGCAAAGTGAATAGGAGCGTCATTGTACATTTCGGGTATCCTGTTCGGGTTTGCCCCTTCGTGCAGTAAAAGTTTTACAAACTCCGTGGAACCAGATTTACTAGCTATATCGAGTAACGTTTCTTCGGAATCGTTAGGATAGACATAGTTGACATGCAAGACATTTGGTTGTTGTCTGTTGTCCAGAGTGTTTTTGAAAGTGCGAATATCGTTGGATAGCATGGATTTCAGCAGTAATTTGTAAGAAGCTCCTTTGTTAGCTGGGGATAAGTCATAGACGTTCAATAAACGATCCTGCTCTGAATTCTTTTCAAGATCCATTTCAGTATCTACAAACAGAACATTGAAATCTATGATATATTGATACTAATTCGATTATTTGGAGGAAACATTATTACAAATATAAAATATTAAACGATATATTGCTTTGCATAACATTCCTTCTGTAAGGTTTTATTTCAAATATTGATATATTTTTAAGGATATTCGTCCGTTCTTGATAGTAACTATTTCTAACATGTTCTATAGAACATGAAAATATTTTAATGTGATTAGACAGTGTGGTATGTTTTAAAATAATACAATTATTTATGTAATAAGTTCATTCATCATTTGGGTGCTTTGAAGTCTTATTCATAGCTAGCGCCACAATCTTCGATCTCAGCATCATCATTTCGTGCCTCAGCTTCTTCAACTCCATCATTATATTTTCATTATCTGATAATCTTATTCAAGATAATCTGTTAGCTTGCTCCACTATATTAGGACCCATTCTCAAGCTGGGCCAGTATTTATCACGATATTCTTTGCGATAATTACGGACGATAATTGCTTCTTTAAACGATGCTTGTATTCGGATACATCTCGTATCATCGCAGTGAGTCTCTCGTCACTTCGAGTATAATTTGTTGGCTGTTTTTTTTCTATGTTTTCGAGCAGCAACCATATGCTTGAAGATCTCGAATAGAATTGCAAAAATTGTTATGTTCAGTTGTAACAATGTCGGCATAAGTGGGATTTGTGGCTATTGCGTTTGTTACTATTTGAGTAATTGAATCGAAGGCGCAAGTCTCGCGAACTACAATAAAGTAATCGCCGCAACGAGAGCCTTTGAGTAAACTACCGGTTTTTAATAAGGGTATTATAATTCTGTGCAGAGTTGGCATGTGATCCCAATCTGGGCAGTCATTGAGGTAAATTAATTTCCTTTTTTGCTTTTTATCTTTCTCTGATTGCATTGGCAACTCGCCTTTGAATGTTCTATGGTTCAGATCCGCGAATGCTGCTTCGACAGTTGAGGACATGGCTACTTCTTTATCGCAGCAAAAATGAGGATGCATAACAGCTGTCCACAGTGGCAAATAAGAAATCAAATTTTTTAATTTTTTTGCGATTTGTAAAATGGATTGTAATTGTAAAATGGATGAAATTTTGGATTGTAAAATGCATTAGTTACAGAACCTGATGTAGCCTTCGCTGCTATAGTTTCTGCCGACTCGAAAATAGAGTTTGCCCATTCTGTCCATCCAGAATTTTCTGAAACTAAGTCTTTTTCGACAATTTTTTTGACTAGTAAGAATATTCTTATAGTCGCCAGAAGTCATTTTAATTAACTTTCAGTCACCTATTCGATCTCACGCTATGAATACCAGCCTCACCGTACCATAGCCTGGCACCGCGTGAAACAGTCGCGATCGGTAGAAAAACTGTGAATATACATAAAGACAGCCATTCTGCTCAGGCCCTTAATTGCACTAGTGCAGCAATGCAGCGATAACGAACAGTCCAAAGGTAGCCATATAGAAGAAATAATAATAATACCGCGTTCAGAGTACAGATTCGAGGCACCTTATTGGTTCTACCATATTTCGTTGAAACCAATAAAACGAAGGACATTTCTATCCAGACTCTTACTACGGAGAAGTTTTTCCCAGTCCTATCTTAACTTCTTTGCCTTTCTTTCTCTTACCCTTTGCCTATTCATATATCTTTTCCTGCGCTTTTCTTTCTTCCCACGACAGATCGTTTTCTATAAATATCTTGCTACCTTTCAATCTATTTTTCCCTTTCATAATCTTTCTCTTTTCCTCCGCCGTTAAGGAATATAATAAATTAAAGTCTCAATAAATTCATCATGTCGTAACTGGATCGAATTAAATGTATACAAACAGTTATCGTCATCGCGATTTTAAATTGAGAGTAACGAATAATATTTTGCTTCTTACTGAATCGAAAATATCTTATTGGAGAGATATTCCACCTTTGCGGTGGTGATTTTTATTTTATGTTACATCTATACGTAATGACGTCAAAGGACTCACCCGGCGCACGCGAGCATATCTGCCAGTGAAAAGTTGAGCTGCGCCATCTTACCAGACTCAACAAGGTTCTGAACATGACTACGATATTTTTGAGGTACATTAGATCGGGGGAAAAGGGAAGTCGAAAAAGTAGGGGAAAGTCAAGGGTGAAAAACAATACGTTATGTTAGAGAGATAATGTTAGAGAGATGGTGATGATGATTGCTGCCACCATTGCTGGACGTAGTGCTCGACGCATTGAGATTCGAAAAGAGTACGCCTAAATAATCATTCCGTGCACCCCTCATGGCCACGGCGATGCTGCTCACCCCTCGATCCACATCCTCGTCGTTTTCCTGGTGATGTTGCTGCGGATCCTCCAAATGACGATGAGCGGGAGCTAGATAATGTGGTTATATATTGAGTTTAAGTTTTCTGTGTCATTTTGTAAATTTATGGTTTCGTCAGTTTTTTTAATGTAAAACATTTCGGCAATCTCTCTTCTCCGTGTATTTCTTTCGTGGAAAGCACCAAATGTGTAAATAATATCACTTTATAAGAGATTCTATATCCGTAGTCGAAATTACTGACGTGTCAGGAAGTACTTAGCAATCCGCCGTATTGCATAGTTGTATTATTTAAGGATTTTTGGAGATGACCAATGGAAGTCATGATCGTGGGTGGTGCGGTGTTTGCTGACTACTGAGTGATTTGATTCTATCTTTTTGATGTCTTTCAGATGCTCGTTTATGCGAGTTTTGGGGTGTCGCTTGGTTTGTCCGATATAGGAAGCGTATAGTAAGAATATTCTTATAGTCGCCAGAAGTCATTTTAATTAACTTTCAGTCACCTATTCGATCTTACGTATAAGATCTGACTATGAATACCAGCCTCACCGTACCATAGCCTGGCACCGCGTGAAACCCGTGAAACGGTCGCGATCGGTAGAAAAACTGTGAATATACATATTATTAACTAGTCTCGAAGGGTGAAAACTATGTACGAAAATATGTACGAGACGGCGGCGACGGGCAGCCAAGTGAAAATCGCAAACGGGGGAGCAGACACGCGCGTCGTCCCTTTGACGACGATCTCGCGCGGAGGGATGATACTTTGAACTCGCCGACAACTCTTTCGAGACCTTCGTTACGGTTCGCTTCGCGAGTATCTTTGCGTTCGTGTATGCCCAGCAAGAAAAGAGCCCCACCCGGCTATTCTTACCGACCCCTTGCCACGGAAATATTAAACGAAACGGCACTTTTGCCTGCCGTTCATTACCGCAACTCTGTAAACAGGCGCATCCTTTCGGGACGAAAAACGCGGAGCAAGGTGTTGAGAGTCGAGCGAGTTGAATCGAAATAGATATCACCTTAACGTGGACCGCGATCTCATCTCCGACAGGTCAAGTTGACATTCACGTGTTGTCTACCGTACACATAAGACATAGTGACAAGCAGATTTCGGGCCGGTAAGATAGACGAACAGTATAAGTATTCGTCTGTTTCACCTTCGAGTACAGTGAACGATTGCGATAGAATTCATTTGACCCCGAGATAAGAATATTTAATAATTTTGTCTAGACCTAAAAGAGGCGTCGAAAGTTTGTCAATGTTGAATGAGAAGGTAAGAAACTTTGAGAAATATTTTTTAAACGTATCAAGTTGTACGTCCTCAAATTCGGATCACGCTATTGTGATACTATACTTTAAATAATAAGTGTTTGAAATTTCAAACATTTTTTAAATTGACATGTCATACGCGTAAAGTATTTAATTTTCTTCGTTTTAATATTTATAATTCAAACATTTACAATGTACTAATTTTTACAGTCGCGCCCTAACGCGCGCTCTAGCATCGTGACGTGCGATCGAGAACGCCAACTTTAACGCGAAACCGAGCGTTTTCCACAACGTGATTACGCGAGAGCGTTAATCCGTATTGTTTTTTTTCCAGCAGATCGTGCGCGAGCACAGGCGACCGGATCGACGTTTAGAACAGTCCGGACGAGAGACAGAGAGGGACGGGGTGGAAAGAGAGGGAGGGAGGGAAAGAGAGAGAGAGAGAGAGAGAGAGGGAGAACAACGGACAGATTTATTCTGTTGCGAGATGAAAAGAGACAGCGAGAAAAACGGGCGAGAGAGGATCGCATCGCGTTCGAGCTCGTGCGTGTGCGTCGGGCGTTTTTAATGCGTGTTACCCGACGGAACCGCAATCCGCTTTTGCGGCGGATGCCGGTGCTGTCCGCAGCCCGCCGGTTGGCGGTTTCCGGTAACGCGCTTTGGCGTAAACCAGCAGGCACGCCTGATTTCGAAATTGCAAAACATTTTCACACTCTTGTGGTTCCAACGCCACCCGACGGGCCCCTCCGCCCCCCCCCCTTTCTCCCCCCTCATGCCGTTGCGCGCACGGTGCCACCTTCCGCTCCCTTTGCATTTTCCGGGGTTTTTTTTTTCGTTCGTCCACACACGCGTGCACATCGCCGTTTAAAATCACGCGTACTCCTAAAACGCGCTTCGCGCGCCCGAAAAGCGCGCGTCATCGCCGCGCGAGAACGCGCCGCGCGTTTATCGGGCGCCGTTAACGCGAGATAAATGCTCGGGATCTGTGCAGCAAGAACGAAAACACGACTGATATCCCGATATCCAATTCGGGAACTTGCGTTTGAGAAATGCAAAGCGAGCTGTCGTAATTTTCTAAAAATTTCGTCCCTCGCAGCGGTTCTCCGAAGAAACGAATTATTCTGTACGTATCGAGGTGTGCTCAATCTTGGGAATATTCAGTTATAGGTTTATTTTACGAAATAATAATTTAATCGAATGAAAGTAAAGAGCGATTTGAATGTGGTACACGGAGATGATTTTTTTCTTAAAGTTTCTCCTGAAATGCAATTGTGAGACATTGCATTTCAAAGAATGTTTTGAGAGTTCTTTGATATTTTACCACACATTTTACCAGTAATTATATTTACAAGGGACCGTTACAAAGTGTCCCCCTACGATTTGGATGAGCTTCGAATATGTTGTTTTCCAGCTAAAAATAAGAGATACGTATTTTTTTATATGTGCCCATACTCACTTTTAGGGGGTGAAACATCCCTGTAAAAAAAATCGGTTTTTCTCTTTCGATGCGAATATCTCCGAAACTGTAAGAGATAGAAAGTTTCCTTTTTTTTTTAATTAAATGGCTTTAAAAGTACTACAAAACGGCGAAAAAATTTTATATTAGAAGCCCACCTCATAATAGAGGACTTTCCTCTATTATTTTTGACACTAAAACCTTGTCGCGGCTCATAGCCCCTTTTTAATTCATCTGATTACATTAAAGAGTGTTTGACGGCGAGACCGTTGCTAGAACTACCCCGGCAGTTATTCCGGCGCTCGTCGATGCCCCGAGATTTCGCGTTTAATTGTGAAGCGTTTAAACCAGCACCGGCCCGCGGCGACAGGCAACGCCGGAGCAATGCCGGAGTCTGAGTGTGCAGTCATTAAATTATTCCGGAATGTGAGCCCGATGGGTTGTCCCCGATCGGTCCGACTCTGAAACGCGCTCAACGGGAGGATCGGCCGGTACATACATCTGACGCGATCTGCGCAACCCTCTCGCATGCGTTAGACGCTGCCGCCGGTCTTGTTTCGCGCGCGTCTCGGCGATACCCATTTCTTTTATCCCGAGTGACCATGTTCGAGCTAATGAGCTCAAAAGTAAAGCGAGGACGACAGAAGGGCTTAATTTGTTAAACTTTGGCCAACTGATTTCGTCAGTTGAAATGAATATGTAAACCTGTGTCCACGATGCTAGAACTTGGCCCAAGTTTAGAAGATAAATGAAAGAATCATAAATATAGTAAATCAGATAAATGATCTTTCGTTTTCCAGTCAATATCCCAGATAAGGGATATGCGCTACTGAGAAAGATGATAAAAAACAGTAATAAGTGAACTTGATCTTATAAATAACAGGAGCCTCTTGGCTGGATCTTCAGCGCCTGATGGTATTTCTGCGTAT